GACGCTCTGCAATGATCTGCTGTTCCTGTGACCCGGATCTACTCACCGACAGCCCCAGGCTCCTTGCAGGTACCCACTGAGGTCAGCAAGCCCCAGCTGCCCCCCCATCGGATCCTCTTCTGACATCTGAGCCACTCCTCTTCCCTCCTACCCAATCTCTGCCATGGAGCACAACAAATGTGAAGCCAAAATTACTACACTATGTCAACGTACTTTCAATCAATGAACTGAAACCTGCCTCATGTTCCAAAATCCCAAGGTCCAGACTCTTCTTTTCTTCATGCTAACTGCTGTGGGTGTGGGCGAGAGAAAGGACGCAGAGATGAAGCGTCCACAGTTAATAAGCGCTCTGTCGGGGAGACAGCTTCTGCCATGCCATGGATAGAAAAGTCACGTCATTCTTTCAGCAGTTTGCACGCTGAAGCACAAGGTAGGGGCTCACGCTTTCTGCCTGTCACCCCAGCAGGGTGGGAGTTTGTGAAGACAGACTAGAAAATACCATCTCTTCCAGTACTGCTCACCCAGAGACCTGGATTCTTCAGAGTATCACTAACGATAAAAGGCAGCCTAAACAAAGGAAAAAGTCCTAAAATTACATAGCAAAAAATAAATAACCTGATTTTTAAATATACAAATATCTGCTGGGTCTATGTGAAAAATGCCCAACACGGCCCTTCTCCAGGGTGACGCAAATCAGAACCACAGTAGCATACCACCTTACTCCTGTCAGGACAGCGAGTATCAGAGCCTAAAGACAACCCATGTGGTCTGGAATGCAGATCAGCCAGACCCCTCCGACGCTGTTGGTGGGAATGAATATTGTGCATTCGCTGAGGAAAACAGTATGGAGGTTCCTCAAGAAATTCAATACTATCGAGCAATCTTACTTCTAGGTACAAGTGGTATATCAAACTCAGGATCTCAAAGACTCTGGGTCTGGGGTGTAGATTAACCAGAGCGCTCAGACACTGTTGGTGGGAATAAAAAGGAAATATGCCAGCCACGTGAGGACAGATACCCATGACTCCCCTCATGAGAGCATCTGAGACAGCCGAGCTCGCAGAAGTGAGTAACAGGATGGGGTGCAAGTGGCTGAGGGTGAAGGAAGCTATTCAAGGAATATGAAGTTTCCGTTACGCAAGAGGAATCAGTTCCAGAGATCTGCTAAATAATAACGTGCCTATAGTTAACATGCAGGTCTTGCGTACTTTAAGATCACGTTAAGATGCTACATGGCCTGTTAAATGTTTTGTTTTTATTTTGTTTTGTTTTGCTTTTAACACAAGCAAAAACAAGAGAACCTAAGGAATTTGTGGAGGTGATGGATATACTTAGTGTGTTCACTGTGGTGAGGGCGTCACGGTGCGTTATGCATTAAATGTGTACACATTTTTGTGTATCAACTGCACTTCAATAAAGCTTGAAATAGAAACCTTGGTCTTATCCACATAGTTCTGTGGCATATTAATTATAAACCAAGTGAGCATATGTCTTTGAAAAAGAAAAAAAAACAAAGACAAAAGGCAGTGTGAATGCAGACTGTTGCCACCACCCAGGGACCTAGCAGGCAGCAAGCCTTCCCACGCACCGAGCGTTCTGAGTACCAGGGCCCCAGAGAGAGCAAGACTTCCTCTGGGAGCCAAGTGATGACCCAGGGTGTGACTCCAGCTGGAAAAGAGGAATGAAGAAGCTGCACAGAGAAGACGGCGGGCAAGATTGTCTGCTCTGGGGAAGCCAGCTAGGACCAAACGTCACCGTGAGGGAGGGAGAAGATGAGCACGGTGTCACCCAGGCCTGTCTGCCAACACTGCTTCTACCGCGATTTTCCAAAGTGATTCTTCATGTCTAAGTCGTTCGGCATGCCCAAGCTGCTAAGAGGACTAAGCTAAATGTCTGTGCCGATACCATTTAAAAGGCATAATCTGCATTTCACGGATATACTTTGTTTTAATTATATACACTTACGTTACTTTCAAATCGCAAATAGCACTAAAGGGTACTCTGAGATCTATACACCTACCTGCGTCTGGATTAACGTTTGGGAAATGTGAGGCAAACGCATCAGTTCTTTGAGAGGAGGGGTAGAGAGAGCTGGAGCATCTGAGAAGCTTCTATTGTGATTTTTTTTTTTTTTTTTGAGAGAGAGATTTTTGCTATTGGGCACATGCGCTCGCCAGAGAGACAGAGAGAGACAGAGAGACAGAAAGCGAACTCCCTCCCCCCCTCCAGGGAAAATGGTCACACTACAATCCCTTCTCCTTCACTCTCTTCTTGGGATTTTGGGCACACACACACACACACGTGCCCGGGGTGAGTTTTAAACTGCCAGGTCAAACTGCAGTCGACTATGTGGGAGTACAACGACGTAACCACTACAGCATCTACTGGTCTCTATTTTGATAATTAAGATGTTAAAAATGTGCTTCAAATTCCTCTAGAAAAGTTACTGTTCAGTTATCAGAAGTCAATTGAAATGTATAGTCTCATGATTTCGCAGATGAAACATTGGCTTTATTCGTAACAGAAACAGTAATAATGAGATTATAAAAGCTCTTACCTTTGTCTGGAAAACAGCATATCCTCTGATTCCTAACTTGGAATTTTAGTATTTGGGAACTTGAATATTTTTCAGGTCTTGAAGACAGAATGAAACAGCTGAACTAAAGCCGCTCAGTATTGGAGCCATGGTGCTAATTAGCTGTGCTTATCGAGGTTTCCGTTCGCATCTGTCCCAGAGCGTGAGGCGCAGCAGTCGGTGGTGTTTACCATCTCGTGGATGGCATTCTTATCACTGAAAGTTATCCAGGCTTTTCCCAGAGACTTTTGCAAGGAATAAGACTGGGTTCTTTTCTCTCATAAAGTTTGTGAATCTAGTGGGCAATGTTTCCGTTTGTTCGAGACATTTACAAATGAGGTATGGAGAAATTGCAAATGGGCATGAGAAGTGAATCAGATTCGGCACAACAGGCTCTCTGCAGCCCTGGGTCTTCCAGCTG